CTCGCGATCGTTTGTCGACTACATTCCCTATATCGCGAAATTTACCGCAAGAAGATACTTCTAACTCGATGAAACTCGGCGGACAGGTGTACGAGACTATCCAGAAATGACCCACAAAGCCCATCTATATCCACTATCATTGCGGAAAAACTGACGTCCAGTTTCTTGCATTACCGCGCACGTCGCGTAGCGAATACAAGACGTTAAAACGTACGTGCTCCATTTTTGTCGCGATCTGTACATCTTCCTGTCCCTTCGGCCACCCTTCGGTCTCCCTTCGGCCCTCTTCCGCCTCGACCCGCCTCGAGGAACGTCCGCTTTTGTCCCAGCGGTTTCGCGCAAAGAAATTGCTTATAACTACTTGACACGGTACATTTTCGTCGCGTAACTTATGAACGTCGTTTCGGGCTATCTGCTCGCCGCCCCCGCCGGTTCCCGCCGGTCCCCGCTGGCCCTCGGGGGTCTCTTTCTTTTGAAAGACGAGTCCCTTGGCCGAGCACAGCGGGACAAAACGTTCGATCCGAGTAATTGGATTAGAATGAAGTCGGGTAAACGGTGTAGACGCGACGCGACGCGGCTCGGGCTCGGCTCGGCACCGGCACCCGGCTCGATATTTTATCCCGGCTCCTCTTCGGTTCTTGCCCCCGGGGCATGCTTCTGGTTTGTATCGCGACCACAGCCCCGAAGTCGTTTCTCATACGTCCACCTTGTCGGCGGCCCCTGGGGCCGTCTCCCGTTTTTCCAACGTTCGGTAGATAGAACAGGCTCCGTCGGCCACTCGTGACCCACCGCGAACAAAGGACCGGCGAACTTTGACCGGTGCCGTTCGCCTGGAAACCGAGCGTCGCGACGCTCCTGTCGACGAGACGTTCGATCGTTCCTCCGCTCGATCAAAGCTATACTCTTTTGTGCGATTTCAAGGCGAGCTTCCATTTGTTGCCACAGCCTCGGCTGCCTCGGGCGACGAGCTCGTAGAAACAAACTGCGGAGTCCTCTTATTAAGATCTCTCCTCGTGGCCTTTTTATCCCGCAGCTGGCCTTTTAATCGGGTTCTTGGTCGAACTTTCGCTTCGATCGCCGATAGACTGATTTTTAAATAGATGGAAAGATCTTATTTAGTAATTTTTATCGAAATATTTGAACATTTCGATAGATTCTCGTAAGCTAGAGAAACGAAACAAGATTTGAACTCGGTGGAACTCGAAATCGTAAAACACGTCGCTGGCCGAAGAACAAAAAATGGAGCGTCTATCATCGAACAATGAAGTGACAAGGTCTGATTCGAAGCTAGCGAGAACTTGTTGTTGCTTCTTTAACAGTTGCCGCGCCGAGAGGAACAATCAAGAAAAGCTCCGAGGCGCATAATCAACGGAAGCTCTCTCGCCGGATCTCATTCCGAGAAATGCCTCCGGAAGCGGGATCGCGTTTTCCGGCTGGCATGGTCGAAAACCCGTGTGACGCCGCCCCCGCGTTTTCCCAAGATTGAAGGAAATACTTTCGGCGAGCATCTGCTCGACTGAAAGTTTCAGTTTAAAAAAGTGGCGGCTCCTCTCCGCGAATACGGGAGCAGGGGCTACACCGACGGCCCACGTATCCGCAGACGTGTCGCGGCGTTACTTTGAAAATTATTTATCATGCACTTTCGAACATGGGACGGCGCCTCCGGAGGCGGTGCGCTTCTCTTTCGTTACCGGGATGCTCGCTGCGCGTTTCGTAGAACATCGCGCGACACGCTCGCCGAGTAATCAAATTGCTTCCCATGTTCGTTAAGTCGAAGCAGGTTCAAAGAGGTTTCCCGAATGCTTGGGTTCTTTTCTTTTCATCTCGCCGACAGAATTGGGTTCGCGATCCTTGGATCGCGATAGCGAAACACGGCGTTTGGATTACAGTAAATTCTCCGTAATCGACGCTCAGCTTGGAAACGAAAGTGGACAATTTTGGAAGAGCAGGTGCGATTAGTCCAGCCTCGCGGCTCGTTTTTATAGTTGTTATTTATTTATTTATCTCATAGTTGTTATTCTCAATTACTATGGTTTGATCGTACAGCGATACAGCTTGAAATGCGCGAGGTTTAATTAATCTCGAGAAGATACTTTCTCGAGATACTCTAAACATCTATTGGATCGTTTAACGATTAATTCTATCGCTTATGATTGGACTGTGGATTGTATATATTTATGACACACACGAGTGGAAACACAGAACTGTACAAACATTAGAAAAAACATACTAAACATTGTAATCGTTCGTGACTCGTGATTAGACCGCGGATTGTATGCATTCGCGAAAAGAAGCAGCAGAAGGAACACGGAACGCGAACACCGAACATTACCAGGCTATATAGTTTCTGCACAAAGTTACATTCGTCTTCGTTTGATAGAAAATTATGCATTCGAAATGTGGGACGCGTCTCGCGTATTACGCGATCCTCTCCCATTTCCGGGCCATTCGGCGTTTCGAGGAATATCGCGCGACACGTACGGGTAAACAAATTGCTCCGGAACGTTCGTTCGCGAAAGAAATAAAAAGAGGATCCGGGAACGATCGTACCTTCCGCTAAACGATATTTAGGCCGTTCGTGATCGGGAGAGCTGGCTCGAGTCACGGTTTCGAAACGGCGCGGCGCGGAACGGGCGCCCTTAGCATTCGAAGTATGCGCGTTTAAAACGCGAACGATTGTTCCGCCGGGCTGATCGATGCCGGCCATAATTTTCTTTCGCATAAGCGCTACGTCGACCCCCGGCAATTCATGAATACTCCGACGGGAATTCCGCGGATACCGACGGCCAATTTTCATAAATAACACGCGGTTCGAATTCTCGTTTCGGGGGCTGCAACGATTCGACCCAGGCGTTTTCGACTCGCGATTCCCCGACAGAATTCGAAGAAGACGAAAGCCCGCCTTTCTTCCCGGGCGAACGATGATTTTTCTGACGAAAACGCGCGAGTAGACCGAATCGAAAGTGTCAGCTCCGATTCGATAAAGTAATTCGCGAAAGCTGTGTCTATGCAGTTTCTGTATGCGATTGTCTTGTCACTGTCTTGCGATCGAATCGGACAATTTTTATGTCGCATAAAAATCTGCGGTAAATTATTTAGACAACGGCGATGTAAAGAGACTTTCGTAGAAAATGATTAAAAAAAAAATAATAAAAACAGCAAAATGATAAAAATTTGATGACTGAGAATTCGTTCAAGAAGGATCGACTGCGACAATTCGCAGCAATAATTTTCCAGTAATCAAAGGAAGAAGAAGCGGAAGGGAAAAGGGTAAAGTAAAATGAATTAACATACGAAGAAGTTGTAAAGCGATCGAAAGAATAAAGGAGGCATTATACGCTGGAAACGCGAAGCTCGAGAAAATTGCAGGAGCGAGGAAACCCGAGCGATCGGTCTGGCGGGAAGGGAAGACAATTTCGCAGACAGAGAGTGAAAAACATAAAACACGATGGTAGCATGGGTGTAACGGTAACGCCGTAGCCAAGCATACTGCGGTTTGCCGTTTCCCAAGACACGAGGTATCCCGAGTTCCCGGCGTCTTTCCCATCGAGCCAGCGGCGTGGCACGGCGTGTAATTCATTAGGAACGTTCGGCAAATAGATTCGGCGAGGTGCAGACTCGGAGGAATTCGCCGGGATCCGTTTTTCGAGGCGCCCGGGACCACCTTTTCCGCGTAATGGATACAATAACACTAGGTTCCAATGAGGCCATTCACCGAACCGCCGCCACCCGGCGAAAATCTATCTTTCCCTGAAATTCCAGTCGAACTTCCGATATTTATGGGCCACGATCGATTCGGCAGAGGTTAAAAGGCACGGGTAGATTTACGATCGGTCGCGACCGAGAGAGAGAGAAAGAGAGAGAGAACGAGAAAGCGGGCGCGTTCGTTTCGCGACGGAAACGGCGCGACGCTTCGCTCCGCGCCGCGCGGAGATAGACAGCTGGCGCGGGATGTTTTAATCCAGCGTGTAAAACACCGGTGTTCCTCGTCACTCCGGGCAAATCCCGGGACCAAAGCGACGCGACGTTTTCTTCCCGGCGAACAAAAAGCCCCGGCTAACCCGGCCCGAGAAACCCGGCACCCGGTTCGTCGGCTTGTTCCACCGTGCGAGGCAATTCGTGTCAATTACTTCGGAAGCGGCGAAGATTATCGGAAGCGGGTACATTGAAACCGCAGACCCTCGCTCTGCACCAACACCTCTCGAACCGATTGCGATCGGATCGCAATTTTTGGCGATTACCGGAATTGGATTACGGGAATTAGAAGTCCCTTCGCAGTTCGTTCGGAGACTGCGGATTTGATCGGTTTCGAAGAAAAACGGTGAGAGCGAAGATCGTCGCTCCCGCGATCGATGCGGACAGTTTACTATATATCTTGCGTACAGATTTGCTGGAACTGTTACTCTGGATAATTCTGTTCGTTACGGATGGCTATAGTTAGCAGATGGATTATAACCGTGGCTTTAGCTTCCAATTACGCGGAGTAGTCGAATCGATATATTTCGATGATGCTCGAGCTGCCGAAGCTTCGCGAAAAAAGATCGTACGACGATCTAATTGGGCTCGTTTCGAAGCTTAAAGTTTCTACTTTCGCAGTCGTTGGTTTATCCTTCTTTAAAGATATGTTTCTGCATCTTGTCAAGAATTTTTCGAAGACACGATCACGAGCATAGACAAATTTGTATCGCGTCTGACTTCGCCACGAATCTCGTCTTTACGGCGTTGTTAAATTATATCCGCCGGTGTCAACGATTACAGTACAGGTTGTTCCATAATTATGTTAACAATCGGAAAGGGGTGATTCATGAGGTCGTTCGAAGTAACTTTTTCCTTGGCGAAAATGCAATCCGCGGCTTCGTTTGCGAGTTATCAATGAAAAACAGCGATCGACGAGAGGCGAGCTCAGCGCGATTTAACGCAACCATGGGACACCCTGTACAACGGGATCGAGGGTCGATAAGTATATAGAAAGGTTTTCAATAAATGAGATTGGTACTCACCTTGCCAAAGTCGGAGAGGCCACCGATGTGAGAGATTCTGCCGGGTTCATCCACTGTGCTGCATTCTGCCCTAACGAACCAATAGGTCAGTAACTCAATGGCGACGATCCTCGGTGTATATGTATATATATATATATTATTGTCCTACAATGCCCTTTAATCATAGAGTCCCATGTTCGCAATGCTAAGCAACGCGGACGGAATTGTTCCGTCGGACTAATGACCGCAGAGATTGCCGCGCGTCGCGTACAAACGCCTTGATTTGAAACGTTAATTCCTTGGAATGCGCAATCAAAGGGCGTGCCGGATCGTCGGCTGCAGGCTGTTTACAAATATACGACAAACTATTGCTTCTAATCCCTTTGTAGGCGGCGACCGTGTCCACGGGATATTGGCCTGCTCGGATCCGTAATGTCACCCCGGGACAGCTGTTCCACCAATCGCTTGCACGCGATCCGATCTTCCGCGTCAAAAATTCTATCACGCTGCACTCTACTCTTTTGGCTTCTGCTCGCAAAATTATTCCATCGATGCGATTGTTCATTTCGAAGCCACGTGTATCAATTCATCGTCGCGTTTCGATGGAACTTCGCTTTCAGCTACGACGCGGTGAAAACATTTTCTTTCGTTTCTTCTGTTTTACGCGCGCACCTCGTTCATTGAACTCGCTCTTATATTAATATCTAGAGATCGTTATCCGGTAGTATCAAGTTATATACATTATTTCGTACCCGCATAAACGATTCGGGCTACAAAGGGTCAAGTAGAAAAATGTCCGAGCACGATTTAAACGATTTTCGACGCACAAAAGAGTCGAGGTTCGAACCGTTGATCCTTTAAGTACTCGGCCCGTAGATGATAGGGGCGAGAGCTGCATCGTTAAACTCGCGACGTTTACGATAAATTTGGTCTACCATGATTTTTCTACAATTTATATTGCGAATACAACGTAATGACATAAAACTGGTATAAAATGGATTAAGCGTGCAGTGTCGCGGTCGATCGTTTCGTAAATCTTTGAAATTCGCGGCGAAGTCTACAAGCCTGGGAAAAGCTGCATACACCTCTTGGCCCCGGTTGTCGGCGGGCGTTTATGCCGGCAACGAGATTAACAATTCTTCGCGCGGATACAAATCATGCTCGACGGAGTCCCATTGAAAAGAAGAGCCGGCATTGTCGGGCCCGGCGTCGCTTTAGCCGTGAAACTTGCCCGGGGTTCGTTTGAATGCCGGTGCCCGAATTAAACCGAGATCCGCGCGAGGGATTCTGGATGTCCCGAGGGGCGCGCGCGAGGGGCCGCCAGAAGAAGGGTGCGAGGGGAGACGAGCAGGGGAGGGCGACGCGGGCCGAGAATAAACAAAAATTACTAACATGCGCCCCGCACAACAGTCGGTCGCCGTCCACGTACACCAGTGTAAACAGAATAGACTCCGGGGCTCCGACGGTAAATGGAACTTTAACGGGTCGAAGTCAAACAATGCAACGGAACTGCCGACGTTCCAGGCGTCACCCTCTATATACCGTGACCTGGTTGACGCGGCCCGGCCGGATGCAATATGATATATACACATATATTGTGTACATGCATGTGTACCTGGCCGACGACTCTGCCTGGCGGCGACAGGGATTTCCGAGATTAAATTATTAAAATCGACGTGTCACCGGGCCGAACAGTTTCCCGTTTATTCCGGGCCGGCACGGCGATTCGGCCGGCGAACGATAGCCGCGGACGTCGCAGGATTCGTGACCGTCCCTGATAGGATTAGAGATGGACGCGGACTACGATCGGGCTCCGAGGAGTCCGAGCAATTCCGGCCCGATAATCGTCCGTATTAGCGCGATGTTCACGAGCCTGGCAAACAGACCGACGATACCTCGACGCCGCACCGGCTGCCCGGCCCCGGACCTAGGTCCGAATTCGACGGCGATACGGCGATGTCTCTCCAATTGACGCTCGGATTGTGCAGAAAAATGGACAATTTTGGAAGAGGAGACACGATTGTTCGAGCCTTGTGGCTCTTTTATTATGGTTATCGATTGTCATCAACTATAAAAACGAACTGCAAGGCTCGAAATTGTCCATTTTTCTGCACAATCTGAGCGTCGATTAGGGAGACATTACAGCACGCTTCGCGACGAGAACACGGCGCGCTCGAAATTCTTCTCGGACGACGTCGAATTCACGACTTTGCGGATTTAATCGTAATCTGCTGGTAATTCTGCGATTCTTCGTATCTTTGCAGCTTCTGGACGGCGAGCATCGTATCCAATAATCTGTCTCGACCGAAGCATTCGTCGCGCGTGACTTTGTGGAAATATTCGGAACAGCCGAGAAGTACGAAAAAAAAGAATACACGATACGACACAAAATCGTGGCATGTGACCATCGAATTGCCTTTGAATCGTGACAAAAAATTAGAAATAAAAAAGTTAAGTCATCATTTTTATTCTAGCATTGCCTTTTTATTCTAGCTGCCTTTTTTCGTCGACTGCCCCAAGTTTCTATAAAAACGAGCCGCGAGGCTCTAAGAATCCCAATTTAGTATTCTCGGATCTGCCGGTTTTTTTTTCAATTCCGACTTCTAAACATTTCCGGAAGAAATTGCTGTACCACGATGATCGCTCGCGTGTCGTATGCAAAGTCGGAAAGGATCGAGTCCTGCGGTCGTTACGAAGAATCGGGCATCGGTCGTGTTTAGGAGTCGATGGGTTCAGCGTTAACGAAAAAGTTCGCGAAGACGTCGAGGTCGCAGGTGTCGCGTGTCAAGCAGTTTTCCGCAAAGTTGCTTTCCGTCTGAACGTTTTTATCATGCCCCGGGCCGCGGAGCGCGCCGCCTAGAAACGCAGCTGCCGTCCCTCCGGCATCGACGATCGATCGTTTAGGGGACGCGTTCCCGGTCCCGACCCTCCAGCCTTTTTTCAGCGGCGGGGCTCGATGAAATCGACGATCGCGGTTCAATCCGAGCAACCCTGAAACCGACCTACGCGTTGATATTTATCAGCGTATCGGCGGAATCTATCGCAGTCGTAAAACGCGCGGTCGTTCCCGGAAATACCGGGACGCAGATAATATTGTTACGGTTCCATTAATCCGGGGATGATTTATGGTGCCGGTGGCCGCGCAATTCCGCGCGCCCGAATATAAGGGACGTCCGGCCTCGCGCGCGTGCCTGCCACCAGCTTTCGGGAACGGAGATCGAATCGCCGATTTGTTTCGACTTTAATTGGTTCGCGCTCGCGAAGGCAGCGGCCGAGCGATATCCGTCGATTTTTTTGTCGGAATCTCGGTTGGTAATTCAATTTCTCCGGGATGCTGTAAAATCCGATTCCTCTGGGCTGCGATGTAATTATTTAAATAGGAACTTCACCGGGGTGAAACCGCATTTTGTCGAATCGCAACGCGAAGTTCGGAGGGCGAAGGATATCTCGTCTATTGTTCCGTTGTGCTAGGAATTGCATGGTCGGGGTTCTGATTGTTTCAAGACGTTCGAATAGTGGCTACGAACAGGAAGATGTCCTGTAAATTCTTTATAAATACAATTCTTTTTAGATGCTTCTCACCTAAATTTTTTGGGACTTTCGCCACCTTTCCAGTAGAAAGGATACCCTGTCCTACGGTAACACTGATCATAAATTTTTCCGCCATTCGCAACAAAGTTTAAAAGCGCTATCTACTTTGTTAGAATTTATTCAACTGTGCACAGTGGTTGTATACGACTTCGAACTTTAAAACCTTGATCTCGATCGAACGTACGAGTCACGAAACTAAAGGGTTACTTCCACGATCTCGACGACGAAACGACGAGAATCCCTTGGCACGATCTCCAAGGGTATCGAATATTTTTGTAAGAACTCTGTAGCTGCAAAATCGACAGACGTCACTCCGGTTTCTCCGAGTCGACGTTCGGCGACGCTCGGTGGTTGCACACGGTTGCTCCGAAACGAAAATAGAAGAGCAAAGTTTCCCGATAGTAATGAACCTGGCAGATTGTGTCGAACCAGTTTCTCAATAAACTACGAAGCTCCTCGCCGCACGGCCCGTTTACAAATACCGTACGTTCATAATTAAACCGGAAGCGGAGAATGGAATAAAAGAAAAAAAAAAGAAAGAAAAAACCGACATCGATCGAAGGAACAATTCGACACAACTTCGTAGGTCGGTTGCCGTAATTTCGCCGAACGACCGCGGTTTCCCGAAGAACTCGAAGCCACCGATTAACAAACTTCCCTTGAACTTTCGGGCAGAAATGAATTACACAACTTTCCACCGGCGATAAAACAGAATTTCCCCGAACGAAAAACGTAGCAAAAATCGTTCGTTTCGCGCAAGCATCGTGCCTCGAACACGTTGCACGAGCGCGAGGATATCGGACACAGGACGCGACGTTTCGTTTCAAGCTGATCAGGGCCTCGCTATTCGCGAGATAAATACGCGCTCGCTTCAAAAATCGCCGCGCTGGCAAGACAACGCGACAGAGGCGATCTCGAAGCTTTTTTCGAGCTGTCGCAATTCGAAACGCGCACTAGCCGCTGTAACAAGTTTAATTTTCCACGCGTCGCTAAAATAAATTCGAAGCTCGCGCGAGCTCGCGCGCGCGCAGCCGACGCGACGCGTCTCCCGCTCGCGGATGCAGCGCCGGTTCGTTCCCGGCTTTTTATTGTTCTCCACCCTCTTTTCTGCGTCGTCAGTTTTTCCGTTGCCTAGTTGCAGTCGGTGTCGCCTCGTAAAGGGGAATTCGTCCATTGTTTGTCCTCGAATAATATTTCTGTCGACGGGCGAGCAAGCGCCAGCTGGGACGCGCCACCGGCAACCCTTACGTAATTTCCGGTCCCCGATTTCCACCCGCCCCCTTTGCTCTCGTCGCGTCGCGACACTTTCAGCTGAAATGGTCGCCGCGACATTCGACGGGGCCGCATTATCGGCGAACTTCTCTCTCGTGAAAAATACTCTCGGCCAACCGGGCCGGCGGTAAACTAGCCCAAAACCGGGCGAACGCTGCCCCCGTTGGCGGCAACGATCCCATAAACTAGAACCGCGGGGCTGTTGCAGGGCTGCCGCGGGGTCCGAGCTGTTAACGAACTCTGGATTATTCGTTGGTAAAAGTCGCCACGCGCGTCGTTCGTTTCCTGTAAAAGCGACTACGGGATTCGCGATTCGAGAGATTCGAACCGATCCGAATCTTCTTCAAACTGTAACTTCAACTGAACCTTATCTCGACCGAGATACGTCAGATCCGAAGTTTCCCGCCGATCTTAGCTTCCAAATAGATTCCACGGAGCTCTTTTAACGCAGTCGCGGATCGATGCGAGTTCGAACAACGTCCCCATACGCGCGGATACAATTCGAGGAGACCGAGACAAGAAAGAACCGCCTACGAACCGAACCGAATACGAACGGGTTTCCGCAGCGACGTTTCGCGACGCTGGATTAGAAAAACCTACCGATGCTTCGCGTTTCTCGCGGCAAGTTCGAAAGGGCCCCCCGGGGAGCGGACTGCGAGCACGATGTCGCCCGGATCCGGTTCCGAGCGATTTCCGTAAAAACGTCGGCGAGACCGGGGCAACTTTAAATTCTACCGTGAAACATTTACAACGTCCTAGGACGACTCGGCAGTCGCGGTTCCTCGTAGAACGGCGGACTTTCGGCGGAGGGAGTTCCGCAGGCTGCTTGCCGGCAGAGCCCGACGGTCGAAGCGATCGCGTCGGGAGGATTTCTGCCAGGGTGCCCGGTGGAGAACGAGCGCCCCGGTCCCAGTCGCGAGAATCTTTTCACGTTCGCCCGCGCCACGTATCGCGCATACGCATGCTTCGGGCACGCCTTTGAGATCTTGGAAGCGGGCACACTTTGTTGCGAATGCATTTTCAATGGAACTCCGATCCTGTTAGGTCCGCTCGCCGTCGGCGGAACTTTATTCCGAGGACGAATTCGCTCGTACGTAACGCGTCGCGTCGCGTCGCGCCGCGGCCGCGGCGGAATCGGATCCTCTGCGCGCGACAGTTTCGGATTGAAAGTTTGATTTTATTTGATTGTTGCGCGCAGCTGCGGTTGTTTCCGCGGTCCGGACGATACGGGGGAACAACACGGTCGACGCGAAACTTTCGAGGCCGCGGTTCGCGCCCCTTTGTTGTATCATTTGCGGCGCGTTTTTATTGTGCGGCGATAAAGCTGCGCCGGTGCTCGCCCGACAGTATAAATAGACCGACTATCTGGCATGTCTGCGTTTCATCAGTTTCAGCAACGCCGCCGTTTGTCTCCGCGTTTATTTTCTAGCATCGCTATAAAAAGCTGCGTAACCATGTCGCCGGTATTTTTAATCCCGATCGACCGCGCGAGCCGGGCGGGCTCGGCCGCGGGTATTTTGCCGCGCGCGAACATGGTCCCGTGATTCTTAATTCGCCGTCTCGATTGGCAAACTCACCAAGGTATATTACAGGTGTGCGTGAGGGTGAGATATCTGGCGCCCAACTCGTACAGCATCCTCAGAACCGCCAGGCTCGTTCCGACCGCGTGGCCGCCCTCCACCCCTATCAGGCTCGCTAATCTACCCTCCTTGTGCGCCCTCTCTATACCTGAAACGAAACGAAGCGTCTTCGATCAGTCCCGAGACGATTTCGCTCGGACTGTTTAACCCATTCACTGCCAACTACGAGATATCTCGTAGTATGCGTCTGTACCAAAGAAAACTGCCAGCTACGAGATATCTCGTAGTGGGTGCTGCAAGTTTAGATTGGCTGCAAATGGCTGTTCGAGTTAGGAACTATTAGATAGGATGAATGAAAAATGTATATAGTGTAGAGAATATATTGATTATAGATAAAAAATACTGTAAATGCCATTGGAATATTATATCGGTAACTTAATATTATTATATTTTGTAAAACTTCATGTTTTTTCTTCATATTTTCTTTAAAATAAAACCGTGGCACCCAGGACAAGACGCGCTAAATTCGCGTGGCAGTCGATGGGTTAAATCGTTCGCTCGATCGCTTAAGTTACGGCAATCGAACGAACGATATTGCTGTTGTATTGGGAACAACGGAAAGGCTGATGGGACTGTGAGAAATATGTTCGGAAATACGTGTTTGAAAAATTAGCGAAGGAAGCTCGGAATTGTTATAAACATCGTCGATATCGTTTTAATTATAGCGCGCGCTTGCAGGGAAAATGACCGAACGCGACAACGCGATTTCGATTATTGTCGGTCTTTGCGACCGTCCGACGCTAAACCGTATTTTGCATCGTTTGCAAAAGGTTTGCGCATTTTCGTACGTAAAATGCGAGAGCTCCGAGCAAACGCCCTGACACAAGAGCTAATAATTAGGACTCCGTGTACGAGGACGATCGCTTGTCGCAAGCCACGATACACAAGGAAGATGACGGATCAGAGGGCTATGGAAGAGCACTCGAAGGAATTTCAGACGATCCAAAGACCCTACGAGCTCTTGGAAAGACCCTCGGGAGATCTCGAAGATCATAGGAGCCCCGTAAGCTCTTTGGAGGGTCCTCGAAGGGACCTCGGTGATCTTGGGATCCTGGAAGAGGTCCCAACGGACTCTCGCTATTCCGGGAAATCAAAAACAAGGCGGAGACCCGGAGAGTGACCCGGAGAATCCTAAAAATCATTCGAAACTAAAGGTTCCGGAGAGAAGGATGTTTCTGCGGAGGATCGCCGCGATTCGTTGGATCCAGGGTCAGATTTTCGCGCTAATCGCGGTCCTTGTAATTTTGCCGCGGACAGTGTCGCTGCCACAATTTACGACGCGATATTTCAAGGAACGAATATCCCACGGCATTCTGTCACACATATTTTCAGATCGGCGGTTTCGAAAGACCGCCGAGTTTAATCGAAAACAGCCGAAGCGGCGGGCGGTCGATCGATAAAAGTTATCAGTCACCTTCGATCGACTCGGTTTAATTAAATCATTGAAATTACCCACGGGCAGAGGGTGTTATCTCGCGGATCATTAATTACGAGGCATAAACGGGGGCTTGATTAATGCCGACCGAGGGATAATGGAACGCGGGGGAGGGCAGCGGGGCTTTCGAAGAACACCGTTGGCCACTCCGAAAATCCTCCTTGCGGCGGGTATTTTGTCAGTATTTAGTCAGCGCGCCGCGAATTCGATTCCCTCCGCCGTTTAATCGTTTTAATCGAACCGAGCCGTGTAAAGGCGGGCTATCGGGCCGCGTGAAATCGGATTCGCGGGCTCGGTGTCGTTCGTATTCGATTAAAACACCGCGTACAAATTGCGTTAGGTTCGGTGCTTCCGGTACACCGACGCGAGAGGATCGGCCGTGCGGCGGTGCAGCGGCGGTGCAGCAGCGGTGGTCGGTCGGTGCTCTCGCGCGTGCATCGCTCGCGAGCCGGGAGGGACCGGAGAGGAGGGCCACCGTCGAATTGCCATTTGTCGCGGGGACTTGAACTTTCCCGCCTTTGACCGGCCGCGATCGAGCCCCCTCGAGTTCGCGTTAATGGAGGACCCATTCTGCGGTCGCGCGAATTTACTCGCGGCCGGGATGTCGACCGCGAATTGCGACCATGAAGCGACCCGCCTGCCGCTTCTTCCTTCGATCCATTCAAACTTTCCGCCCCGAAAATCCACCGGTAATTCAATTTCGATATGCGCCGGGACTTCGGTAATGGCCCGCTAACTGCGGTTCGGCCCCGACGACGCTACAGTCTGTCGCGAACCGTCCTCTCCTCCTCCTCCACCGGTTCCAAAACTCCTCGTGCCGGCGACTTTTTCGACCGTTCCGTGCCCGCGACTCTTTGCCAAAGTACCAGCCAGCGCCTTTGAACAATTTTAGGCAGCGCGACGGCTCTCTAATTAATCCGCCGAGCTCGCGACAGCGTGAATTTCAGTTTGGCGCAACCGCTGCGAACGGCAACAGTAAAAACGCTCGTTGACGAAATCCGAAGTTCGAGTCCGCGGGCTCCCGCTTTCGTATCATTGCGCCGGATGCCCACTCGAACGCTTTAAATTGGAGCAAACCGCTCGAGAGCTTCGGGATGTCGCCGGTTCGGTGCGCGACGAATTAAAAAGCGCGCCGCGATTGGCCGGCTCCGCGAGGAAAGCATAATGGAACGACGCGCGACGCTCGGCGGCGACAAAAATTGGATACGAAAACCGGATATTTTCGAAAAATTCCGAAACCAAGGTGCCGCCGTCGATGTGGCAGTCTCGACAACGCGATCGCGAAGTTGCCGAACAATTCCGGTCGCCGTCGGAACCACCGATCCAACGAGACTTCGGAAGCCTGTCGCCCGTCCTCGAAATGATTAACGAAGGAATATCGTGGATCGCGGAGCTTCGCGGTCCAGCGGTGGGTCGACCGAGCTCGGACCGCCGGAAACGCTCGGACACGGACTATTAGCCGGTCGCTCGCGAATTACGTGTTTCGGAAGCGGCGAAGACTGCTGTCGCAAGGGCTCTAGCAAATGCGAGAACTCGCCGGTAACTCGCAGTCGCCGACCGTCGGCGAAGTTGGCCTCGGCGCGTTCGGTTCCGCGGACCGTTTCGCCGCGCGGAAGTAAATCGAGCGCGCCCCGTGGCACACGGCCATTTGTCCCGACTTTAATTTCCACGAGCCCGATTACGCCGTGTTAAGCCCCTAATGGAGGAACAACCGAAAAAGGAACGCTGTCGATGAACCCCGATTTACCGCGCACCCTGATTTATGGCCGGATACGTTCGTGCCCGTTCGACGGCGTGCTCGTTCCCTTTCCCGCAGTTTCTCGTTCCACCTTCCTATCCGCCGCGATTCCGCCTCCTACGAAACCCGGCCGAAGTTCCAACGTTATCCGACGATTTTCCATTTCTCTAGGAATTCCTGATCTTTCCGCATTCATGCCGCTTCGTTTATTCCCCGCGCCGAATCGCTGCTCGCCGCGCGTACCGATGCCCTCCTCCGCTCGTTTTCGGAGCAGCCTCAATTCCCGCGGAAATTTCTGCGACCAATTATTCGCAACGGAGAAATGCTTCGGAATGTTGCAACATTCCATCGGGATAATGCCGGTCCTCGGGGGCCACTTTCCGTGCGGCACGTTATTTACCATCGAATCGGCGCACGGCGGTCCGAAACGCGATTTTCCGCCGGAGCGAGATGATTTTTCTTCTCGCGCTGTACATTTTGAAATTACCTGTTTATTTCTTGTTATCAATTTACGTGTACGCGATATGTGAGCCGTTTATTTTGAAAGTGGCATAAGTCACTTTGTTTTTAAGTCGATATATTTAAGGGTTTGCGTTTTAACGCGTTTAAAAATATGGATGCTAACTTTCGAGAAGATTTACTTGTATTTGTTATCTCAGGATACCGATATTTTTCTCGGTATAATTAATTTCGTATAAACATGAAAAAATCACCACTTTTCATTACGGTAAAGTGACTTGTGCCACTTTCAAAATAAACGACTCATATACGGACACGTGAATGTACAGGGTGTCCTAGCATCGATGGCGCAACCGAGAAGGGGGTGATTCTACGTAAAAGAACAAATCGAAAATAGAGAATGAAATCGTTTCAGTCGAGGCTTCGTTGTCTAGAAAATCGACGGTCTACAACCTCCCCGCGTTCATATGTTTCGGTAGTCTGCGTCGGTTCTTTTCCTTTTACACATTTCGCAAATTTTCGATTTCGCATCCAGATTCGAAGCCCGAGAACTCGGCACAACCTCCCCGCTTTCATATATTTCAATAGTCCGCGCCGGTATTTCTCCTTTACGCGCGTTTCGCAAATTTTCGATTTCGTATCCAGACTTCAGAAGCCCGAGAGATCGGCGACAAAAGATTTCGATCGTTTCAGCTTCGAACCGCGCTAGCATTTTTGCACACCGTGTCAATCTTTCGGCAGCCCTCGCTCTCGTCCTTTATTTCAGAGATAAGTTACGGAGCTCTCGGGTCCCGGCTCTCGGCGGGAGAACGTTCGCGTCAGTTCGAAATCAAAAGGATTCCCGGTCGCGGGAGCATTGTAAACGGGAGCACCAAGTTCGTCTCCTCCTCCGCCATAAATCTCTGCCCTCGAACTCTCCGGGAGCTTCTCGAACTATCGCTCTGTGGAAGTAGCGCCGCGAAAGTACGCTCCGCGTCGAAAGTTTCCAGCAGAAAGCGACGATTGGTTCGTGTAAACATATCCACTTTGCCCGTTGTCTGCCAGAAATTCCTTCTTACCGATTGTTAACTGCGCATCGTAAACAAGGGCCGTCGATCTCGAGTGCGTCTTCCGGTTGCATTCGGGTCAGGTGGTTTTTACTTTGTGCCGGCAACGGTTATCATCGGCGGTCCAAGTTGCTCGCAGTTCGCGTTATATCGGCTATAAGCAATTTGAATCTCGTCGTCTCGGACGGGTAATCGAGAATCACGAGACGTCGTACACGGGAATATTTACACTCGCGATCGATTGCTCCGGCACCGAGACGCGTTTGCTATATCGGCAGCGATTACGAAGGCGCTGTCAAGCGCTTGCCGTACTTTGACGAATCTAAATCGTGACGCATATACGGGGTGATCCAAAAATGTCTCACAATCCGGAAGTGGCGGGTTCCTCGGGTCATTCGAAGCAACTTTTT